GTGAGGTCCCGAGGAGAGAAGGGCGGCGAGGGGCAGCAGACTGACCCGAGTCCGCGCTGACCTCCATGGCGGCCGCCGCCGGTCCGCGCTACCGGCAAGGGGTGGAGGAGGGAACCGGCCCGGCGTGCGGCGGGCGGCACAGCTGCGCCCTCTGTCGGCCCAGGGTGGCGCCGGCAGCCCGCGGGGCGGAGAGCACCGCCCATCGCCTGGCATAGCCACGCCCATCTATTGGCATAGCCACGCCCACCCGCTGGCGCGCCCCCAGTCTAGAGCCCGGCGCAGCCCCGCCCACCAACGGGACAGCCCCGCCCACCCCCCGGCTCAGCCCCGCCCACAGCCCATCCCACTCCGCATCCCGGCACAGCGTCGTGCCCTGCTGGCCCTGTGACACTCGGCTGCCTTCCTCGCCCAGCTCCTGGGCTGTGGTTGCCTTGGCCCGAGGCCTCAGAGTATCTTTCTTTAAAAAAAAAAAATAAAAAAAATAAAAATAGTTCGACATCATCGCTGCTGAGTTACTGTATTCCAAAATCATCACATAAAGGGAGAAATCTGCCTCGTAAAACACCTCGTGCGCAGGTCTGGGGCTGCTCAGGCTGCGGGTGTGACCCCCCCCTTACAGTGTTCCTCTCCCCAGCCCCCTGGTGCCACCAGCAGTCCCTGCCGGCAGCGTGTCCAACGGCTGCTCAAACGGGAGACCCCCGGGGGGTACAATGGCAGCCCACCGGCACAGCCTGGCACCCCTCGGCTGGCTTCTTTAATGTCGCTGCTACCGGCATGGGGCAGGCTGGTGACCTGTCCCGACGGCTCTAGGGCCAAGTCGAAAGAAAAACAAAAAATAGAGGTGGCAACACTGATTGTGGATGATTTTTGCTCTATTTGCTGAGCTCGAGACCTGAGGAGCTGAGGGTCAGCCCCCGACACTTGAGAGGCTGGACGCTAACACACTGCAAAGAGGTGGGATTTTTTGGGGGAAGCAGATCTGGGACTCGGACTCCGTCCCTGGATGAAACAGAGGACATTTATTCATGAAAAAAAAAAAGAAAAGGGGATGGGCAGAGGAGACCAGCAGCGTACAATGCGTGCTTATCCCGGGCAGAGGGATGGCATTCTGCATTCTCGGGCCAGCCCATTATTTTTGCAGCACACATTTCCAGCATTGAGCTGGTGAGGGGCTGGCAAGCAGCTCCGAGGAAAAGGGCTTGGGAGTGTTGGTCGGCAGCAGCATGAGCCAGCTTTGTGCCCGGGTGGCCAACAAGGCCAGTAGCATCCTGGCCCGTATTGGAGATAGCATGGAATAGGGAAGAGATGGTTCCGCTGGGCAGGGCACTGGTGAAGTCCCACCTCCAGTGCAGTGTCCAGCTTGGGGCTCCTCACCATAAAAAAAGACATGGAGGTGCTGGAGTGGGTCTGGAGAAGGACAACAAAGCTGGTGAGGGGTCTGGAGAACCAGTTTTCTGAGAGAAACTGAGGGTGTTCAGCCCAGAGAAAAGGAGGGGAGTCCACATCCCTCTCTCCAACCACCTTGAAGGGAAGGTGGGGTTGGTGGTGGGGGAAATGTCCTCCGGGGGCCCTAGGGGAGGTTTAGATTGCATATTAGGAAAAAAAAGATTCTTTGTGAAGCACTCACTGGACACAGCCTGCCCAGGGGAGCGGTGGAATCGCCACTCCCAAAAACCCAGGGGGTAGAGGCGGGGCTGAGGGGACACGGTTTCGCGGCAGTGTTTCTTCTTGTGGGCGTGAAAGGTCGGCGGTGGGACTCGATGGGCCTGAAAGGTTCCTTCCGACCCAGAGAATCCCACCCGGTTCTCCCGGCAGAGGCCCACCGCCCTCTGAGGGGAAACCCGGCCGCCATCTTGCCGCCGCCGCCGCCGCCGCCGGGGCCG